GCGAGTGAGTGTGTGAGTGAGCAGCGGACGCACGGATAAGCGTAACAATATTATCGCTAGAGCTTCATTTTCATAGGTATCGTATTTTATTTCATTGTCGGTTAAGGTTTGTGATGCGTATGCTATTGGTCGATCCTTATTTACTTCTTTTTGCGACAAGATGCCTCCTACGGCAATTCCAGAAGCGTCAGTGGTTAGAATAAAGGATTTTGAAAAATCGGGATACCGTCAATCAGCAAAGAAATGTTTTTTTAACGTTTTTTAAACGTTTTTTTTCCATTGCAAAAAACGTTTAATAAACGTTTTTAAAAACGTTTAATCAATGGGATAGATCCTTTTTTATTCATTTAAAAAAACGTTTTTTTAACGTTTAATAAACGTTTTTTCAACGTTTAAAACTCGTTTTTTTAATGTTTAAAAAACGCATTTTCAACGTTAATACAATGTTATTTTAACGTTTAAAAAACATTTTATTAACATTAGAAAAAAACGTTTAAAAAACATTTTTTAACATTAGGAGAAACGTTTTTTTAATGTTAAAAAAAGGTTTTTTTAACATTAAAAAAAGATGTTTGTAATCTAAAAAAATTTCAAAATTTTTACACCCCCCCCCCCCCCCCGTACTCCCGAAACCGCTCGAGTGTAAAATCTGAAAAAAATATAAATCAGAGATACTTAACCAATTTTTGTATTGTATTTGCTAAATACTCATTTTTTTTTCATGTATAAACAAACATACATTTTTGTAATTTTTATTTATAAATACAAAACATGTAATTATAAAAGTATGTTAATTATATGTAATTATATGTAAAAGTTAGAATAAGTAGCTTAGTTAGAAATTCCCAGTGTCGCTATTTTCAGGGATCTATCTCTTCATTACCGCTTTTGGAAGCATCACTACTTTTACTTGCATCGCAATCATCGTCGCTTTTCGTATATTTTTCTTCATCGTCGCTGCTATTGTTACATCTGTCTGCATCACAATCATTGTCGCTTTCTATATCTTCTTTCTTATCGCCGCCGTTATTATTACATCTGTAATGATAAAAAATAAACGTGTAGGTATAAAATATTATGAATACGAATGCCTCATTAATCACACACGAAACAAAACTCACTTCTTTTTTTGTATCCGTGAGGGGGCTTGAGATAACCATGTCCCGGCTTTCCTGCCAAATATAATCTCATTAATTTTCGGGAATTTTTCGGCCACTATTTCTGTAAATAAATATCACATGAAGATATCGTGAATAAGATTAAATACATGTCTCACTTTAAAACAATATAAGTTTACCTATCATTACTTTGTTGATACGATGTCCGTTTAATTTTTGTTTTTCCCCTCTTTGGCCCTTCCAATTAAAAAGAGATGCTAATTTATCATCGAATATGATTCGCATGACCGAATTAATCATTCTTTGAAGGGTATCACCCACAACTTCTGCACGGAGTGATTCAATCTGAACATTTTAAAAAGCTGAGTTATTAATGTAACACGAAATATAAAATAGATGAAGTACTTATATTCTTACCAATCGAGAACGGTAAGTGTCGTCGTTCTTTAATTTTTTCTCAACGGCTTTAAATTCGTCCATAGTTAAGAGTGGAAATGCATCCATCAAATTTGAATGCTTTTTCGGTTGCTCGGTTGCAAAAGGTTGCTCTTTTGGTGCATTTTTATTATTGAGCAGCTCTGACTCTATAAAACTGTTAATAGTTTTATCTGTTACTTTCAGCATTACCTTGCATAAATGCAATTGATCTAGAAAAAAAAACGAAAAAAGCTTTTGTTATCTCAATTTTGTTGTACATAAATAAATATAAATTCGATTGTAGAAAATCAATAACATTAAGAATAGTGGAAAGTGAACAAATGGAAAGTTGTTAAAGTTTTTAAAAAGATTTATAATTTTTCTGCAATGTAGGTCTTATAAGGAGATTGAGTAATTTTTTTGATTAAAACTGGAAATGGGTATAATATTTGTTTATGGTTAATACTGATAATACATAAAAAAATATTTTAAAGAAATGTAATTTTTTTCTTCAAAATGCGCGTGGGTGTGTGCATAAGCTCCGAGAAAGTTTTAGTTCTTTTGTTGGTAGTCATATACAAAATATCTGACACACTAATGTGATACGCTAATATATTATTGATGTATGGTCCTCATTTTCTTTGTAAGAACATACTCTACCAACCATCGAAACACTTTATAAAATGAAATCAACATTCCAAAATTCCAATTCATTATTCCAATTCATAATTCGTTCAATGGTTGATAGAGCACCTCTCTGTAAAGAAAATGAGCTATTATACAACAAAATTGTTCTATCGTTTAGACCTGAAGTATGAAAAAATTGTCGAATGTCTAGGGTGGACTATTTAAAGCCTGACGAATTTTTATCTCGGAAACAAAGCATTTTAGAGAAAAATGTTTCACACAAAAGTTGTATGGTCTGAAGGGGGACAAATAATGGCAAAATCATTTTTCGGAAAAAATCGATTTTTCAAGGTCATATAAAGGTCATCACCATTTTTTAAAATGAAAGTTATGATTTTTTTATATAATATGATTCCCCTGATTATTCTGCATATAAAAGTATTAAGATCGACTTTTTCCGGAAAATGATATTACCATTATTTGTCCCCCCTTCAAACCATACAACTTTTGGCTGAAACATTTTTTTTTCTCTAAAATGCTTTGTTTCCGAGATAAAAATTTGTCACATTTTAAATGGTCCACCCTGTATATATTGTAATATAGACATATATTTGATAAAAGATCAACATACTGCCGAGAAAGCAGACTGCATCCGCAAGAGATTGCAATGTGACTTCGCCGTCACTAGTATATGCGCATTTGTGCGAATCCTTTGGGCGCATCTTACATCCCTTTTTATTATGAATATAACCGATGTTTTGTTTATCAATGCTAGCGGGGGAAATTGTAGTTACAGGCTCTCGGCGATTTTCCACAAAGGGAAGTTGCTGCGTTATTTCTTTACCAGGCAAACTGGTATTCTTCGCCGGTACAGGGAAGGATGCCAATTTTGGAATCGGTGGTACTACAGGCTGTGCTTTTTTTTTCATAACTGCATCATCTTCAGTATCGTCCATAAAGTTATCAAACCGTTTGTTTGGCTTTTTCTTTCTTCTACCCTTTCCTCTTTCTTCTGCGTCTGAATGCAGCGTCGAATTTGGATTTTTTGAAAGTTTTACAAGCATTTTCATGCCTTTATTGTAGTTATCTGCAATCGCACGAATTTAAAATAACGACATCAATATGTATAAATATATCCTCCTTTATTATTGGCAATATATATAAATGTATTCTCCTTTATTGGCAGTTTAGGTCAAATAAATAATGTAAAGTATAATTTGATATTTAATTGAATACGTTTAATACATCGTTACGTTACGAAGGTTAATATAAATAGCCGAGACGTTTGAAATTAAATTTTAAATTATACTTTGAATTATTCGTTTGACCGAAACCGCCAATAGAGAAAATATTTATGTATTAAATACGGTCAAAAAAGAAAAGAGAAGATGGCATCAAAATATGGACATTTGAAAAAAGATAAATTACATAAGAGTAAGGATCTTGCAAAAAATTACCAATGCCGTCTTCAATAATTGTCATCGGAAAACAGTCCCATTTCGGATCTGCTTCTCCACACATCTTTGCTAATTTTTCAATGCTGGATTTATGATAATTCATGGGGTACCAAGAAAATCTTTTTCCACTTGTAATCCATCCTGATGGGACAAGGTCGATAAATCCCTCGAGATCTTGTTCTTCTAGTGTATCGAATTCAACAATAGCCCATACTTTTTTTATTTTATCGCAAAGCTTTTTGCAAGATGGCGATGTTTCTTTATGACTAGCAACTGATGAGCTGCCTTTTCCTGATTCTTCCGATTCCTTCATTGTCATTTGAAATTTCTATTGAAATATAAGTAATACGTCAATATTTTTGAAATATTACAATTCAGTAAGTACATACAAGCTAAATATAATTTTCAAATGTATTTTATAATACTATCGTGACATATCCCAGATAGCCAAATGTGACAAAGCAATCTAAATGTAAGGCAAAAAATACATTTCATTTAATGCCGCATTATAATTTTCGTTAAGAAAATGCCAACATGCAACAAGTGTCATGCCATATATGCAGAATATATGTAACTTTACCTAACATGTTACTTAAATACACATCTTAAAACATTATATCGAGCGCAGACGAAAAACAGGAAATAACAAGAAAAACAAGAAAAAGAAAGATGAGAAAGAGGACAATGAAAAAAAATATTGCGATGCAGAACACGATATTGTGAAATTAAAGCGTGTCACAATGTAAAATTGATGATACAATGTAGGCAGTTTTGTACGGTAACTGAACATATTTAATAATAATCTGTGACAATGGCCATGCCTTTAAATTAGACAATTGCTCAACTTTGAATATACCTACTCGGGAACTTTCAATAGGTACATTATAAAAGTCACGTTTGCTAACAAATTCCCTACCAATTACAACTGGAACCTGCAAATGATCAGAAAAAGCTACATTTGCAACTTGAATAATTGCACCGTCAGCAGTACCACAGCAATTATCGGGAGCATTATTTGTTATTTTGAAAAGAGGAAGAGCAGCACCACGATACTGGCGCCTGCAACCTGGTAGTACTGGACCGGCATTATGCGGATAAAAAAGTTTAGGAAATATATGATCTTGTGGTTTTACTGTTGGATTTTCGGACTCGAATGACATGATTTCTCCAAGCCTTCGGCCAATTTGCTCAAGCGGCCTGTTGCGTGCTCTAACTTTTCGTTTTATGCTTTGCATGTAATTTTCGAAAGGAAATGCAGATATGGTATCCAGACTGAAATTAACTAATTTGTCGATAAAATAGTCAGCATCGTCGGCTATATGTATGTTATTGTGAAAATTATGCGTAATAAAATTTTTATCATATAATATTTCGGTCGATTGAACAAAATGTTTTAAAATGTCTTTAGCAAATTGCCGAAGCTCCTGTTCTTTGCATAGATTCGGATTTAATAAAATTCTCATCGCACAATGAAATTCTAAAAAGTGAACATATTTTTGTTCGCTTAGAATATTTTTTAGTACAACTGGACCTACATATAGCATGAATAATCTGAATTCTGTCGCTTTCCACCGTAAAATAATAAACACCTCTCTACACTTTCTTGCGAATTCTGCAGGAATGTTGCGTTGAAGCTCAACAAGATGGTTCGAAAGCATTTCGATCTGAGTAGCAGAAAGTCTATGAGGAATTGGTCCTTTGTACCACATATTTAATATCATAGTACGCATTACACCAAGACATTCTAGATGTAAATAATCAAGAATGAAGTGATGCAAAAAATCTAAACCAATAATATTGATCAGTGGAGTGGCTCGACGGCGAAAATCACCATCTCTCCATTCTACAAAATCCTCACAAGTGCGAGCAGGACTTTCCAAATCAACGAAGATTCGTCGATTGTCAGAGGTGACACCGCGAACAGTGCACCTAGTACAGGAACTGAAACCTGTGTGCGATACCGTTCCCATTATATAACTCTTCGCGGGAGCGTCACAAACAAAATAAGTACCGTCTAATAATACAGTGTGATTCTCGAAATGGAGGCCATGCTCGATAAGATTATTAATTTCTTCAATAAAATCTTGCAAATACTTATTCAAATCGTCAGGTTTCTGTTCGCCATAATATATGCCTATAGGAAAAACTTTCTTACGAAGTTCAGGTATGGATACTACACTGCATAAAATGGGATATACTTGAGCAGATGAACTTTTAAATAGAGGTAATCCGTCAATATTCACCAATAACTTAAAAGTAGGTACATTTTTTAAATACTTAGGAGCAATTTTTAATAATTGTTTTTTCAATCCGATATGTATATAATATCCTGGTTCGACGATTTTCTTTATCAATTTTACTTCCGTCTGAAGTAACGTACGCGCACTTGTGGGGAATCTGGGTTCTGATTCATCATCGGCAAAACACTCGTGGTTCTCTTTCAGACCTGCTAACAAGTCAGAAATTGCTGCATGAGTTATATTGTGCTTTAAAGCCCAACCACGAAGAAATTTAAGAGTCATCAATTTCGAGGAAACTGATTGTTTACTAGATTGAGAAGAGCTCGAAGAATTAGGTGGCGATTGCGGATCTTGGGGAGGGTCATTAGGGTTGATATTTTCGTGTAAAATATCACCTTCATCATTACCCCGATATTCAAAATGAGAAAGATTAGATTGTTCAGAAAGGTCACATTGGTCAGAAAGTTCAGAATGTTCAGAAAGTTCAGAATGTTCAGATTCGTTGCATAGAAAACCCTCTGAATGTTGATAGTTAGAGAAATCAGGCTCGATAATATGTCTGTCGATGGCATTGTCATTTGAGGAATCGGTTGAATTGCATTCTTCATCTTCAATTCTCTTTCTTTTGGCCTTATTGGACAACGCATAAAATGGGATATCTTTCGGCATGATCTCCTCAGTACAAACTGAAATAAGTGTATAAATGTATACGAGCAATAATAGAGGAACAAATACCTACCATAATTATTATTAAAAGAATATAAATTTATAGTCGGGTATAATGCTTAGAGAGCCCCAACGGTCTAAAACCGACTATAATAAGAATTTTTTTTTAATAATTATTGAAAAGTAAATAATATTTAAATTAGAATTCTGATAATTTAAAAACCTTGGAAAGTAAATTTGCCTTTAAAAATAATTAAATAAAGAACCGCTAAATAAGTGACAT